TAATCCCAGCACTCAGGAGGCAGAGGCAGCTGGATCTCTGTGAGTTCGAGACCAGCCTGGTCTACAAGAGCTAGTTCCAGGGCAGCCTCCAAAGTCACAGAGAAACCCTGTCTCGAAAAAACAAACAAACAAACAAACAAACAAAACAAAAACAACAACAACAACAACAACAACAACAAAGCCAAAGAAAGATGTTCATGTGCTAACACCCCTGCATCCCCCCTCAGTGGCTCCACTCTGCTTCAAAGCCAAGTGTAAGTCCTTATCGAAGAGGCCAGCTTCTCCCAACTTCATCACCTTTCTTTTTTATCCTTGTGTGGTTTTATGGGAGAACATGTAAACAAATCATGCTCCTTTTTTCTTTCTGAAATGTTCTTTCCCTAGATATCCCTGTAATTCATTCCTTCCTGTCCTCAGACCTTCCCTGCACATTGGACCATGGCTTCCACTCCTCCACTGCTTCTTTTTCCTTGGTAGCATCCATCACTTCCTGACACAAGCAGAGTTACGAGATTGCCTATTTATTTTCTTCCTAACTCCCCAACACATCAGCAGGGACATGACTCTGCAAACTGCTGCATCCTTAGAGTGTAGATAATGCCTGGCCTGCAGTGATGCTCAATAAACATTTGATAAGTGAATGCATGAAATAATTACACAAACATAAATATGTACCTTAGCCGTGCCTGATGCTCTAAAAGAGAAGTATTGGTGTTCTCTGTTTGTCTTGTCTTGGAGAATTCATGGAGGGCTGCATGGAAGACTTGGGATTTGTAATGATTTGGGTTAGCCAGGCCAAAAGGGAGGAGAAATCTTCTCAGAGGACCTTGACTTGGGAAATATGACATCTTGGAGAGATAGAAAGAAGCCCTGAGCAGGAGCCTCGGGGAGTGAGGCACAAAGAAGTAGGTGGTACAACCACTAAAGGCTTTTATCCAAGGGGGTAAAAAAGAGTAAGTGACAATGGCAGGCATAGACTGAAACTTTGAAAACTGCAATCTGACCTCTTGGCTTATTAAAAATTCACACTCAGAACTTGTTCTGAGCAAAGCTCCATTCAAAGTACCTAATTTACTTCTCAAAAGACAGTATAAGGTGGGTACTGTGCTGGTTAGTTTTCTCAACCCAACACAAACTAGAGTCACCTGGGAAGAGGGAACCTCAACTGAGGAATTGCCTCCTTTAGCTTGGTCTGTAGGCATGTCCATGGGACATTTTATTGGCTAATGATATAGGAGGGCCCAGCTCACTGTGGGTGGTGCTGTCCGTGGGCTGGTGGTCCTGGGTTGTATAAGAAAGCAGGTTGCCTCTGCATCAGCTCCTGCCTCTAGGTTCCCACCTTGGCTTCCCTGGATGATGGATTGTAAGCTGGGAGCCAAATAAACTCCTTCCTCTCCAAGTTGGTTTTAATCAGTATTTGCAACAGGATGCAAATCTTGGGCAGCGCCACTATCTACCCCCATTTTAAATTGAAATACAGAGAAACTTGAAGTACAGGTAAGTGAAGCAAGTTGCCTGACATCACACAGCTAGTGAGTGGGCAGAGGTGGGACAGAAATTAGACTGTGTGACTCTCTAGCCCATGGAGTCCTTTTCTCTTTTGATTGCAACTTTTGGGAGGTATGACTTATATGCAGTTAATATCCACCCATTTAAAACACACATTCCAGTGAGATTTAGTAAGTGTGACTTCTATGTGATACCCACTGCAATCAAGATATAGAAATTCTTGTCATTGGGATTGGAACGATGACTTAGCAGGAAAGAGAACAAACTGTTCTTCCAGAGGACGCCACTTGATTCCCAGCTCCCATCTGTTTGTAACTCTAGTTCCAGGAGAATCTGATGCCCTCTCCTGGCCTCTGCAGGTACTGCATACTCATAAATGCAGGCAAGCACTCGTATACACTAAACATAAGGAAATAAATAAATAAATAAATAAATAAATAAATAAATAAATAAATTTTACCCTCCTCCTTAACATTCTACTGTGCTCTTTTCCGGTAAGGCTTCCCACCATGCCCTCGCAGTGTCCCAGGTGACTCCCGACTTTGTCACAGTAGATGATTTTTAACTGTCTTGGAGTTTCACAATGGAACTGTACAATATATCCTATTTTTGTGAATGGTGCATGCCCATGAAAGTGTGCATGTTAATGGTGAATGGCACATGTGTGTAGTGGCCAGAAGGTGACAGCAGGTACCTTCCTCAGTCACTCTTCTTACTTTTTGACACAGGCTCTCCCACTTTCTCTGAACTTGGAACTTGACAGTTCAGCAAAGATTTGTTGACCAGCAAGCCTCTCCCTCCCCAGTTCTGGGGTTACAGGCATGCACCATCTGCCTTTTACTTGGGTGTTAGGGATCTGAACTCAGGTCCTCATGCTTGTGTGGCAAACACTTACCTGTGGAGCCACCTTTTCTAGCCCCACTCCCAGATTCTTTCACTCATCCTTGTTGCATGTGTTCATCATTTGTTCTTTTTCCTCATTTGTGTAATTAGGATGATTTTACATTTTGAAATACGGACTGATAAGAAGTTAAAACTGTGGAATGAAGTCTCATGTTCTTCACACAGTCTCCTCCCTCCTTACCTCTTGTGTAACTATAGCACAGTATTGATCCATGCAGTGGCCCCAGGCTCCTGTGGCCATTCCCGAGGCAGCTCTTCTGGAGAACTGTCCCAGTGCTGGGTTTACACAGAATGTTTTCTGCTCTAACTGTGGGAACTCCCTTGCTCTTGGATGAGTCTTAAGGACAGTTCCGCCTTCTGTGGTTTCATTCCTCTCGTCTCAGGTGGCCTCTTTAATAGGCAATGAATCCATCCTTGGATCTCCAGAACTTTCTCTGTGTAACTTACTCCTCTCCAAGTGCTCTTCCCTGGAATCAAGATGCCTTGATTTTCCTGAACTCTCATTCTGCCTCCTCAGCTTGCACTGTGGGCTGGAGACTCAGGGTGGTAACAGGACTTCGGGCTGGGCTCAGCTTGTCTGCATTCTTTCTCTGAGACCTCAGTCTTATGATTCCTGCAGTCAATATCTTGAAGCCCCATTGTCACAGACTTTGGTTGGTCTTTTTTTGGTTACCAGTCCCCAAATCATGACACGGAGACCTATCACTAGTTATGAATGCTCCGCCTTAGCTTAGACTTGTTTCTAGCTAGCTTTTTAAACTTAAATTAATCCATTTCTATTAATCTATGTGCCGTTCCAAGGCTTGTTTACCTCATCTATGTACTGTCCACCCCATTTTCCTGCTTTCTCTGTGTCTGTTTGTCTGGGCCCTGGCTAGCTGACCCTCTGTGTCTCCCTTTCTTTTGCTCTTATTCTCTCTTGAGCCTAGGTTCTTTTTCCTACTTAATCCTCTCTGCCTGCCTGCTCTGCCTATCCCTCTACTGCCTAGATATTGGCTGCTCAGCATTTTATTAGGCCAATCAGTTGCCTTAGGCAGGCAAGGTAAAACAAATGCAACACATCTTTACATAGCTGAACAAATGCAGCATAAACAAATGTAACACATTTAAACAAATATTAAACAACTATTCTATTATTCTTGGTTAAAAATATTCTATTCCACAAAAGTCTTCTAATCGTAAGGTGATGGGTTTAATTATCTTATTGCTGAGTAGTGATCCACTGGTTCAATTGAATAGATATGCGGTCTTAAACCTTGTACCCGTCGAACACTAGGGTTATTCCCAGATTTGGCTATTACAAGTAAGGTTGAACCAATCTTTGTATCTACATGTTTCCATTTCTCTTGGAAGATACCTGTGATTTAGGTGCCATTTCCCCTTTCCTTTCCTTTCCTTTCCTTTCCTTTCCTTTCCTTTCCTTTCCTTTCCTTTCCTTTCCTTTCCTTTCCTTTCCTTTCCTTTCCTTTCCTTTCCTTTCCTTTCCTTTCCTTTCCTTTCCTTTCCTTTCCTTTCCTTCCCTTTCCTTCCCTTCCCTTCCCTTCCCTTCCCTTCCCTTCCCTTTCCTTCCTTCCTTCCTTCCTTCCTTCCTTCCTTCCTTTCTTTCTTTCTTTCTTTCTTTCTTTCTTTCTTTCTTGCTTCCTTTTTCTCTCTCTTCTTTTTTATTTCCTTTCTTTCTTTTTTTTTTTAAGCACAGGATCCTATGTAACCCAGGCTGCCCTTGAACTCACTAAGTACCTGAAGATAACCTTGCACTTCTGATTTTCTAGCCTCTCTTTCCCGAGTGCTGGGATTATAGGTGTGTACCTCCAATGCCAAGTTTATGGTGCTTGGGATTGAACATGCAGCTTTGTGTTTATTAGGCAAGCTCTCCACCAACTAAGCTACATCCACAGCTCCTGAAATTCCTGATCGTAGAGTACCAAGTGTGTAATTTTATAAAGTTCTGGTAAACAGTTTTCCAGTCACAACACGACCAACATTTGATGTTGTCAGTCTTCCACTCTTAGTCATTTTAGTGACTGTGTGGGGTCTCCTTGAGGGTTTTTTTCACATGTTTTGTTTTATCCTGGGGATACTAGGAAGGAAGGTGACATGCATAGATTTAAATTTTGAAAACAGCCATCTGTCCTGTCTGCTTATTAAAAACCCCACAAATGGGATGTGTTTTGAGCAGAGCCCTGTATAAAGTGACTCACATGCTGTGATATCTTCTGTGTGCCTGTTGGACATTCTCATATCTATTTCAAAGGAGTTCAACTCTGTTTTCCCGTTGGCCTGTCTTCTTACTGGATTGTAAGATTTCTTGCATTCAGATCCAGAGCTCATGTGAAAGATATGGAACGAGCATTTTGAAGCACTCCTCTCTTCTGGGTGCAGTGGAACAGGGTAAGGGTAGAAATGATCTGTTGACGTCACTGGGAGAGTGATGAATGTGTCTTAGACATACACTGGAACCATTACATTATATAAAATATTTTTAAGGAATTGGGGTCTGTGTGTTCTTTTTGCTCTTGAATATTCTTAAATATATTTAAAAAATAATAAGAAACCCGAATCATTTCTGTGCTTGACTTAACTGCAGGAGAATGTCTCGGGGACCTAGAATGTTCTCCCTTCTCCTGGTCCTCTTTCTGAGCCACAGAGGTGCATGTCAGAGAGACCCAAGCTCCAGGCAGGGTAAGTCCTGAGGAGAAAAACACATTTTAGGGGATGTAGCTGGATATGTCAGTTCAGGTCATGATGAATTTGTGTGTGTGTGTGCGTGCGCGCGCATATGTGTGTCTGTGGGTATGTGAAGGACTTTTAGGGTTATTATACAAGGTTTGTTTTCTTTTTTATTAGTGTGTATTATTTGTACAAAGTCATAGGTTAGACAAACTGACACTCCCAGTGGCAGTGTGTAAAGGCTGTCAGTGGGGGCTGGGAATCGAGGTTTTCTCACAATGAGCATAGTTATTATAATGATTACAACTCATGGGAAGCTATATGGCTTTTGCTGGGCTCCTGTGGTAGCCTTTATGAAGGTCATACAGTTCAGTTCTAGTCACATATCCGGTGGCTTTCTTACAGATTTACACCCATTGTTGCAGAAAATGGCGGTGAGTATTCCATTTTTTTTATTTTAATCAAAATCCCCTCTACTGGAGCTGCCAAATTTGAATGTTATACTTGATTTTATCTCTTTGCCTTTTAGGAAGAAATAATAGAGGGAAGCTATCTGAATGGTAATGTCCCCAGTCTGTCCCATGTGTACCTTCTGAGACCTTCAAACAGAATATAGATGTGGTTGGTGTCTGTGGAATGATTCCGCTTAAAGCTGTCTCTTCATTTTGTCCCCACTGTAGCATTACTGGATCTCATACAGTTTGAAAGGTAATCTGCCTCCGAGGGGTTGGCAGGGCTGGGATTTTGTCCTAATAACTCTCATATGGAGTTTCTTACTTGAGAAAGGTAGTATATGCTAATTGCAAACAGCATCAACCAACGTACAGTGTTTTACACACTTGCTCCCCAAACACTATTCCTCCATTGCTGCAGCTTAAGACCAAGATGCCTGAAGTCCTTATAAGGAGGCAACATTATTCCCAGTGCTCACTGAAGAGAAACACAGCCCCTCAGGCTGGGGCCCACTGCTATCCCTTTGGACAGAATAATGAAACTGAGGTTTGGGGAGGGTGAGTGGAGGTCACACAGTTGGAGAGTGGCAGAGCTGGAGTGTGACCCTGGCACCTGGCTCCAGGGCCTGCTGCTACTACTACTCTGCTCTGTAATGCTCTGGCCTGTGTGAGAGACTGGAGAGATGGGGTGATGTGGCAGAGTTGCAGGAAGAAAGTTGTCAACATTAAATCTTAATATGCATTCCATAAAGAAGAGAAAATGGGGCCTCAGGCCCTGCAGGGACAGCCATCATAAGAGGAAAGGCCCCAGGAAACATCCCTCTTCTTAGGAGAACTCCAGTGTGTGGTTTTTAGATATATTCTTTCAGGCTGCAATTTGATTTATTTACTTACATGTCCATCCATCCATCCATCCATCTATTATCTATAGCAAAAAAGAGATCATAAAAAAGCTGTTTGTAGTGACTGGGAAGATGGCGCAGTCAGTAAAGTGTTTGCCTCAAATGCATGAGAACCTGAGTTTGACCCCCAGAACATGCATAAATGTTTTGGGCATGGTGGCACATGCTGGGAATCCCAGTGCCAAGGCACTACAGACAGGAAATTCTTAGGATCACCTTGGCCAGTCAGTCTCAATGAATCAATCAGTGAACTCTTGGCCAATGAGAGACCTTGTCCCAATGATACTTGAGGTTGTCTTCAGGTATCTACATACATGAACACACACACACACACACACACACACACACACACACACACACACACACACATACACACACACCACACACCTGTTTACACACCTGCATACACACACATACACACCTGTGTACACATCCATACACACATACACCTGGATACATACACACTTGTATACACACACAGACATACACATACCCCTTCATACACACCTGTGCACACACTCATGAACACACTTCCTCCCACTGTGCCAGGTGAAGGCACCTCTTTCTACTTAACATAACGTTCCCAACATCCCTGATCCATTTTCACCCTTCTCTCTGAGCCTCAGGGAACATAGCCAGTGCAGGAATGTTTGCAGGGGGCCTGGTCATTGACTTTCTCCCATCTGTCTTTGCTTGAAGCTCCCATGTGTGGACTGCAGACCTGTCCCACAGAGTCCTTGCTTATCTGAACTCACGGAATTTGGCTTTTACCATCCCCAGCCTGCAGGTGTGTATGTGAGGCCCGTTTCTGCATTATCCTATTGGTTACATCTTAGTGCAAGCACGGATTATATGCTCATACAGATACCTATACACACATACATGAATAAAATAAATATTTCAAAAAAGAGTTTAATTTATTTTATAGTTTTAGAGGCTAACAATCCATCAATATAGTGCTGGTTCCTGCAAAGACATAGTTGATTGTATAAACTTGGTAGATGGCATTACAATGGTGGGCACAACTATGAGAGGGAAAGATCACATGGGAGACAGGAATCTGTTGCAGGATTCTTGGCCCAGCTCACTTTAATCCTCTCCTAAGAACTAACTAGTGTCTCATGGGAGCTATCTCAGTTCCTTTCAAGGGCAGCATCCCTATCACACCAGGGTCCACCCCTCAGATGTAGCATCACCTCTTAATGTCACCTTCCTGGGAACTGAACTTCTGATGCATGAGCCTTGGGAGAAAAACCACATCCAACATATATGCGATTGTGGGTGACAGTAGTGGGCATTAGGCTAGAGCATCAGTAGGGCACAGTGGGGGTGATGGCTGGGGTGGCTTGGTATGGCTGGTAGCTTAGGTTGGGACCTTGAGAACCAATGCAAAACTGAGGATGTGTTATTTCAGTGCGCACACACCATTACTCTCTTTAGCAAAGAAGTCATATCATAGGCCGATGAATAAAGGAGCAGCACAGTTCTTTGTTATTTCCAGATTTAACTTACGTTTTAATAAATATCAACAGATATTCACAGCAGAACTGTACCCAGAGGGCCACTTGCTCACTGTTTGCTCCTCCATCTGGAGGGGCTTTTGGACCCACATTGCATCTGTCTTCATCACTGCTGGCAATGTAATTAGCAGTAATGATTGACCCCTTTCTCTCTGACAGCAAGGTTTCCCATATTGGTAGGTATATTACTGCTACATGCACACCTTCACTTGGCATCTCTACACCCTTGGCAGATGGGCATAGGTGTAGACACTGAGAATGAGGTGGAGAATGACATTACTCCCACCATTCTGAGGGAGAGACGGACATCAAGCAAGTAAAAACGAATCAGGAGTAGAGAGGAGCGGTGGACACTACTTCTATGCTAGGCACCACCGAGAACACTGTAGACATTTAATTCTCACAGCATCCCGCATGGTGAGCATTATCATGGTCTCTGTTTTCCAGATGTGAATTCTGAAGCCCAGAGGTAGCATTGCCAACTTAGCAAATACAAATGTAGACTGTCCCTGGACTAGAGGTGTAGCTCAGTGGACAGAATGCTTGCCTAGCATGCATAAAGCCCTGGGCTTGATTCCCCAGCATCACAGGAAACAGCCATGGTTAACACATACCCACAACCCCAGCACTAGGGAGGTAGAAGCAGAAGAATCATGAGTTCAAAATCATCCTTGGCTGCACAGTGAGTTTGAAACCAGCCTGGGCTACATGAGACCCCTCTCAAAAGACAAAACACAACACACAAATATACAGTATCTAATGAAACTGAAGTTCAGATAATTGTAAACATGGGGATTTGCATTTGTGTTATCTGTCTTTTATGCCCAGTGTTTGCCCACAAGCATTATTTCACACTGCCTCTTTAAGAAACTGAGGTTGGGCAAACAACAGTAACCTCAGCATCCCGGAAGCCGAGACAAGAGGAGTGTGGATTTAGGGCCAGCCTGGACTACATAGTGAGATTCCTGTTCCCAAAACGGAACAGCGGTAGTAACAAGTCCAGAACTCCTAAATAAAAGAAGAGAACAAGTCTATAAATAGCAGAGGAGAGGTTTTCCGGGGAGGTGGGTGGCCTGATAAGGCACTACAGACATGTTCATTCATTCTGCCGAGGGTTTTTTCTTGCTCAGTGCTAGGGTTTGAGAGGTAAGAAACCAGGGACACTCAGCTTCTCCTCAGAGGCCCGCTGCCTATGACAGGGACCAGGGAGGTCACAGAATGGGAAAGTCAGTCTGGTCACCTGAAGGGGGAAGCATGTCCAGCATTTCTCATTCTTTGCATTTCTGGAGTGGAGTTGGAAATCTGGATTTCGTAAGGGATCCCCGACTTTACAGCATTTGCCACCACAAAATCCCCACACACAGGCTGCTCACCAGCTGGTAAACTCTGCAGGGAGCCAAGGGAAACCGGATGGGCTGCTGGCCATGGTGCTGACCCACTGTCTGGTCTTCTGTTCTCACTGAGGGAATCTCCCATGCCCAGGCAGTCATGGAAACCCACCTGGAGCAGTATTTGTACCAGCCCCAGAAGCTGCTGGAGGACCTGAGGGACACTGATGCCCAGCAGTTCCGAACTGCCATGAAATGCCTTTTAGAAGACAAGTGGGACCCCCTGGTGAGGCATCTCATGAGGAGGAGTGGGGCATTTGGTATTTGCTGGGCCTACCTAGGCCTTAGCCATTCTTGACTTCTTTCTCTCTTCACTGGCACCCCATCTTGGGACTCTAAGGTCTGGCTTTCTTCTTTAGTTTCTCCAAGTTACATTTTTCTGGTTTTATGGGCACTAAGTATACTGAGGCTCTTCTAATAGTTTGAATTGGTAAGTGTCTGAGGGTAATTGCTCTGTGCAGTGGGTATAGAAAGGAACACCCCTGTCCTTAAAGTTACAGTGCAGGATGAAGACAAGCGACAGCTAACAGTGACTGTAAAAAAAGGTTAGTGACGGGGCTAGAGAGATGGCTCAGAGGTTAAGAGCATCGGCTGCTATTCCAGGGGTCCTGAGTTCAATTCCCAGCAACCACATGGGGGCTCACAACCATTCATTATGAGATCTGGTGCCCTCTTCTGGTGTGCAGATATACATGGAAGCAGAATGTTCTATACATAATAAATAAATAATTTTTTTAAAAAAAGGTTAGTGACATGAGCAGATCCTCAGGCCCCAGAATGCCCTGAGACTCCAAAGCTGAGGGCTAGTGTCCATTTATTGGAGAGAGTTGGGTGTAGATTACTGTTCTAAAATGGAGTTGAACCCTTACATAGACTCAGTTTCCTCATGTGAACCCAGTATGGAAAGATTCTTTTTTAAAAAAGATTAACTTATTTTTATTTTATCGTGTATGAGAGTTTTGTCTGTCTGTGCATCACATGTATGTCTGGTAGCTATGGAGGTCAGATGAGGGCATTGGATTCACTGGAGGTTCTGGTAGATGTAAGCTGCCCTACATGGGTACTGGGAATTGAACTCAGGTCCTCTGCTTCACTTCTGAGCTATCTCTCAGCTCTAAAATGTTAAGATTCTTATTAGTTTTAACTCATAATATTTTTAAGAAGATTTAAACATTTTAATGATTATATACTTTTTATTTAATTATTTTGGTAGTGTTCGTGATCATGGAGTGCTGGGCAAGCTATATCCCTAACTCCTAATCTGTTCTTACTTTAGTGTTAGTTATTAAAAGACAACATCCACTAGTTTGGTATAGATAGATTTCATTTTGAAATGAACTTCAGTTTTTTAAAAAAGATTCAACTTAAAATCTATTAGAATTATGTTGCATAATGTTTATTGAGACTTTTCTATATATGAGGTATTTTTCTAAGGGATTGACCAGCAAGAGACCAGTGAGTTAAAATGTAATGTTGCCTGGCAGTGGTGGGCACACAGCACTTGGGAGGCAGAGGTAGGATGAGCTCCATGAGTTCAAGGCTTGTCTGATCTACAGAGCAAGTTCCAGGACAGCCAGAGGTCCTGTCTCAAAAAAACCAAAAAAAAAAAAAAAAAAACAACCAAACAAACAAACAAAAAGTAATGTGTGTAGGCCACACAACTCCAGTCACAATTAATTAGCTCTGCTTTTAGGTATGGGTATACACTAATACAACTTTATACACACACACACACACACACACACATACACACACACACACACACACACACACGATGGGTCAGTTTTTCCCCATGGGACAGGCTGCTGGCTCATACCTGCAATCCTAGAACTCAGGAGGCTGAGGCAGGAATTGATTTTGACATTATTCTGGGCTACCTAGAAAGTTTCAGTCTACACTGGATTACAGAATGAAGCTCTGTCTACACTCACACACATGCATGCATGCACACACATGAAAAAGGGCTGAAGGTTTAGCAAAGTGGTGGAGATCTGGCCTAGGGATGAACAGCTTCCTGAATTCCATGCATAGCACCTGCAACCAAATTAAGAAATAATCTTGCATTTTAATATTCAGGTGAGGAAATGGAGTCTTGGAGAGTTAACCTCTAGTGATGCATCTTAGAAAGATTGAATCTGAGGTTGGAAAATGGGTTCCTGCCTGAGGAAGCCATGGGCCTATTTCAGAGTGATGTTTTAAAAAATCTATCTAACAAATACAGAAGATTGCAAAGAAAGTCAATTATCTTGAAGACCACTCATGGAAAGAGCCAGTACAAACAGAGGTAAATTGTGTGTTTCTTTAATACATCAAGAAATAGAACTCGGCAGCAGGTCTAGTGACTTCAGGAACTCTCAACAAGTGTTGGCTTTGAAGATCTCAAGATATAATGCATTGTGAAAATGCTCCCACTGTGGTGCCTGGTACCTTTGGTTACCCCAGAGGAAGCACCACAGTCAGTTCTATGCTAATGAAAGTGAAGATGAGACATTCATGCTGTCCATCCAGAGAATGGGAAGCCACCCAGAGAATAGGAAGCTGCCTTGCCTTGTGTAGAAAGATCAGGTGAAAGTCTTGCTTTTGATCTAGAGGTGATGGGAAGGTCTAGAAGTTTCCACATAGTGGCGTGATGTGGAACTGTGATCCTGAATTTCTTCATGCTGCAGTATGTGAGTCCCTGAGCCAAGAGGCAGCTCTTGTGTGATTTTAATGGTTTGAATATGGAATGTGCCCCATAAGCTCATAAGTCCCCAGCTGATGGGACTATTTTGGGAGATGTGGTGTAATCTTTAGGAGATGGAGCCTAACTGCAGGAAGTAGGTCACAGGGAGAGGTTTAGAAGATTATGAATGGTCCCTCCATTTCCCTGTTTGTGTCAATAATGTAGTGAGCAACCCCATCTACAAGATCCCACCCCGATGGTCATGCTCTGCTTAAGCACAGGGGAAGCAAGTGACCATGCACCAATCCCAAATAAACATTTCCTTCTTCAAGTTGTTTTCTCATGTGCTTTGGCCACAAAGCTGCAATGACTCTAATTTCTCTCCTTCCTTCAGGATCTGAAAGACACTGTCATCAACTTAGGAGACATTTGGAAAGAGGCCCTTCAGAGCCCTGGTGTGAACCGCAGCCTGTTTCTCATCACTCTGGAGCGCTGTTTCCAGGTGCTGAACCCCTTGGAGTGTGTGGAGGTCCTGAGCAGGGTGCTCAGAGGCTCCTCGGGCAGCTTTCTGCAACCGGATGTCACAGAGAGGCTACCCCAGGACCTTCGTGAGGATGCCTTTAAGAACCTGTGAGTTCTTTCCTCTGGACTTTCAATTCTGTGTGCTGCTAGGTCTGCTGTGGTGATTCAAGGGGGTTAATACTGAGCATGGGAGACGATGGTGGGCATGGGTAGACATACTCAGTAAGGGGGACAATGGTGGGCATGGGTAGACATATCCCAGCAAGGGAGACAATAGTGGGGAGGGGTAGGCATACATCTTCAGAAGACGAGCTGAGAGAAACTTTCATTAAAACTGTCTTCTCCCTCAATTGTAGTAACTGGAAACTATTATCCTAGTCTATGTCACATCTGTCTACCACCTGCCCTATGAATTGTCACATCTACCACCTGCCCTATGAATTGTCACATCTATATACCACCTGCCCTGTGATTTGTTCCACAATTTTCTTTATAAGCCTTCATCCTTTTTGCTTGTTTTAGGGCCTGGGGAATGGCCCAATGGTAGAGCATTTGCTGTATAATCATGAAGACCAGAGTCTGGATTTTAGGCCCAATGGTAGAGCATTTGCTGTATAATCATGAAGACCAGAGTCTGGAGAACCAGAGCCCATGTAAATGGCAGGTGGATGTGGCAGCCTGCCTGTAATTCCAACCCAGGAAGGCAAAGGCAGGGCATTCCCCAGAGCAAGCCAGTTAGGGAGGCTAACCATATTGATGAGCTCTAGGCTTGATTGAGAGACTCTGCCTCAACAAATAAGGCACAAAAGTAAGCGATGAAGATTCCCAACATCAACATTAGCCTCCATAGGCACGGGCATACATGTAAACAGACATGTGCACCACATATGGATACATGGAAAAGAAAAAAAAATAAATTTAGCTTCATTTCCATAAATGGGAAACTAATATTTTTGTTCTACGTTAAAAAAATAGTCTTAAAATATGCTGAAAAACAGTGCCACTATATCTTGACCATCATAGTCAGCTGTAGGCTCTACACCTTGGACAACAAACATTTATCTCCAGGGGCTGAGATGTTCAAGGTCAAGGCGTGGCAGATTTGGTATCTTTCTACTTTCCTGTTCCTGGGAGTATCTTCTTGCCGTGTTCTCTGCTAGCAGAAGGGTCATAGAGCCCTCTGGAGTCTCTTAGACAAGGGCACTGGTCCCTTTCATGAGGGTTCTACCTCCTGACCTTGAGGCGACCTCAAGGGATTTGCCCCAGGTCTTCTCTCCCCTTCTCACTCTATCCTGCCCTCCCATTTCTACTCTTTACAGACAAGGAAATTGAAGGGCAGAGAGACTAAATGATGCACCCTCAGGCAGGAGTGTTCCATAGGGAATGGTAAATAGCATTTTTGCAGTGGGAAAGTTTTCCCTTAAATACTTACCACTTTGTATACATATGTATGTGTGTATGCATGTATGTATATATGTGTGTCTGTATATGTGTCAGCATGTGTGTGTCCTTCTATTGTCCCTGCTTTTTAAATTTTTTTATTTAAATTAGAAACAAGATTGTTTTACATGTCAATCCCAGTCCCCTCTCCCTCTCCTCCTCCCCTTCCCCCCACTAATACCCCACCTATCCAATACAATTTCTGCTCCCCAGGGAGAGTGAGGTCTTCCATGGGGGGTGTCTTAAGAGTCTGTCATATCCTTTGGGATAGGGCCTAGGCCCTCCCCCGTGTGTCTAGACTGAGGGAGTATCCCTCTATGTGAAATGGGATCCCAAAGTCCATTCCTATGCTAGGGATAAGTACTGATCTACTACAAGAGGCCCCATAGATTCCCGAGGCCTCCTCACTGACACCCACATTTATGGGGTCTGGATCAGTTCCATGCTGGTTTCCCAGTGATTAGTCTGGGGGCCAAGAACTCCCTCTTGTTTAGGTCAGCTGTTTCTGTGGGTTTCACCAGCGTGGTCTGCACCCCTTTACTCATCACTCCTCCTCCTCTGCAACTGGATTCCAGTTCAGTTCAGTTTTTAGCTGTGAGTATCTGCTTCTACTTCCATCAGCTGTTGGATGAAGGCTCTAGGCTGGTATATAATTTAGTCATCAATCTCGTTATCCATGGGAGGGCATTTAAAGTAGCCTCTCCTCTGTTGCTTAGATGGTTAGTTGGTGTCATCCTTGTAGATCTCTTTGTCCCTGCTTTTTTTTTTTAACCAAGGTGCTGGAGAAAGGGCCTGGTGCTTAAGAGCACTTGCTGCTCTTGCAGAGGACCTGTTTTTGGTTCTCAGCATCTGCATCCAGCATCTCATAGCCACCTATAACTCCACTTTAGGGGATCAGAAACCCTCTTCTGGCCCCTGCTGCTATTGCACACATGTACTGTGTACATGTAGATAAGCAGGCACACACAACACATACACACACACACACACACACACACACACACACAAA